TGATGCTTGTGCAATCGAGGACATGATGCTGCTGATGAGGATGATGATGATGATGATGACGATGAAGATCACGATGATGCTGCTGAGTATGATAATGATGATGATGATGATGATGATGATGATGATGATGACGATGATGATGATGACGATGATGATGATGATGATACCGATGCTGATGATGATGATGATGATGATGATGCTGATTACGACGATGATAGTGGTGATGGTGATTATTCGGATGATGCTAATTTCGATGACGACGACGATCATGGTTGTGATGATGACGCTGATGATGCTGATAATGATGGTGATCTGGTGATGGTGATGGTGATGGTGATGGTTACGGTGATGGTGATGGTGGTGGTGATGATACTGGTGGTAGTGATGCTGCTGATGATGATGATGATGATGAGGATGAGGATGAGAATGAGGAGGAGGATGAGGATTAGGGAGGATGCTGAGGATGATTATGATGGTGACGTTGATGATGATGACCATGATGACCATGATGATGATGATGATGATGATGATGATGATGCTGATGATGATGATGATGATGATGATGATGATGATGATGATTGTTATGATGATGATGATGATGATGATGATGGTGATGGTGATGACGATGATGATGATGCTGATGATGCTGATTATGATGCTGCTGTTGTGCTGTTGCTGCTGCTGATGATGCTGCTGCTGATGATGATGATGATGATGATGATGATGATGATGATGCTGATGATGATGATGATGCTGCTGATGATGATGATGATGATGATGATGATGATGATGATGATGATGATGATGATGATGATGATGATGATGATGATGATGAATGATGATGATGATGATGATGATGATGATGATGATGATGATGATGATGATGATGATGATGATGATGATGATGATGATGATGATGATGATGATGATGATGATGATGATGATGATGATGATGATGATGATGATGATGATGATGATGATGATGATGATGATGATGATGATGATGATGATGATGATGATGATGATGATGATGATGATGATGATGATGATGATGATGATGATGATGATGATGATGATGATGATGATGATGATGATGATGATGATGATGATGATGATGATGATGATGATGATGATGATGATGATGATGATGATGATGATGATGATGATGATGATGATGATGATGATGATGATGATGATGATGATGATGATGATGATGATGATGATGATGATGATGATGATGAATGATGATGATGATGATGATGATGATGATGATGATGATGATGATGATGATGATGATGATGATGATGATGATGATGATGATGATGATGATGATGATGATGATGATGATGATGATGATGATGATGATGATGATGATGATGATGATGATGATGATGATGATGATGATGATGATGATGATGATGATGATGATGATGATGATGATGATGATGATGATGATGATGATGATGATGATGCTGATGATGATGATGATGATGATGATCATCATCATCATCATCATCATCATCATCATCATCATCATCATCATCATCATCATCATCATCATCATCATCATGCGAGACATTCGCACCTGCCACCGCGACCTACAGCAGCGACTGAGGCCGAGCCCTCAGGCCCGCCGCTCAAGCGGCCTCTCCGGAGCAGCCACGCTGCTTCTCTGGCCTGGCTTAGTGGACAGTGCAGACGGGCTTGTGGTTCACTCCTACCCACGGGGAGGTCTTCCAACTGGGACGGTGCTGAGAAGTCAGGGACACCGAAACTAGGTGCGGCTGCACTCGCTCAGCGACATGCCGAGTAGGACACGGCACCACGTAGCGCTGCGCTACGCGTGGGCCCTTGGCTGCACACATCTGCTGGCGGGAAGGGCAGCTGGCGTCCTGCCACCCGACCTCTAGCTGTGACCGAGCCCTCAGGCCCGCCGCTCAAGCAGCCTCAACGCAGCAGCCACGCTGCTTCTCTGGCCTGCAGTTCGCCCCCTCGTGACAAGGCCGTGCTTTGAGGAAGCCTTGCCCCAGGCTTGTGGTTCACACCTGCACGGGGGTGGCCTGTGGACGGGGCAGTACGGCCTGTGGTCCAACCCTGCCCACGGGGAGGCCCGCTACACATTACTCATTTCTAATTCTTCGAAAGTTCTTTCATTTTTCGGGGGCCAAGATCCGTTCATTTCTAATTGTTCTGTCCTGGGCCTCTTCCTGGCCACTAGGGGGCCAGGACCAATTAGGCATGAGCAGAATTAGAAATGAGCACGATTAGAAATGAGCGACGTGAACACCTCGAGGTTGTGCCCCTGGCCTGTGGCCCACCCCGAGGCAGGGGAGGCCTGTCCAGCTGGGACGGGGCAGGTGCGGCTGCGCCTGCCGAGGGGTATGCGCCGGACAGGCCTCGGCACCACGCAGCGCTGCGCTGCGCGTGGGCCCTTGGCCCCGCACCTCTGTCTCAGAGGAGGAAGAGGTACCCCTACCTCTACCCTTCGGCCGTTTTCCCCTTTCTGGGCCTCCTCGCAGGATCTCGTCGCCACCGCTGGATTCGCCTCGGAATTCTGGTCAGAACGCACCCCAGGAGAGGTCCGGGGAGTAGCGGTATCTGTACCTTTTGGTTTCCCCACTGTACTTCCCTTCCGCCCTCGCGGGCCTCCGCCCGAAGACGATGCAGACGACAGTCGGGGCGCCAGAGAGGGAACCCTGTTAGTGGGGGTGGGGCTCCGTGTTCCTTGACCGTCTCGCAGTTGGCCTCAGGTTGTCCCCAGGTTTTCGATGGGAGAGCGAAGCTCAACTTGTGGAGAAAAGGGGCCTCGTTCCTGCTTTAGGGTTCCTTCGGTGAAGGCCCCGACTGTAGACGACAGTCAAGGATGTTGTCTTGCACCTGGGCGGGGGCAAGCGCGGCAGGCAGCGGCACAGCGCAGACGGAGGTGCAACCGAGGGCCGAAGATCGAGAAGCCAACCCATGACAAGACCACCAGCCCGAGCCAGCGCCAGCCAGGGCTGGACCCAAACGCTGTTTTGCTGGACTTCGGCTGTGTGTTTGGTTTTCGTCTTGGCAGGGAGGTACAGGAAAATAGGTAGAGCAAAACGAACAACAAAACGAACAACAGCACGACAAACAACGTTTAGGTCCAGCCCGAGCCAGCGCCAGCAGCACCGAAACACCAAGGAGCACCACGGCCGCAGGGAAGAGGGGACGAAACCCCCAACCCCCGGAACGGCAAGGCCGGGGCGGCCAGGCGGATCCGAGCCACCCCCACCGGGGAGGGGGCGGGGGGCCGCAAGCGGGGGACCTCCTGACCGACGACGACAGTGGCGGCGGCGGTTACAGACGACGACGACGACGACGACGACGACGACGACGACGACGACGACGACGACGACGACGACGACGACGACGACGACGACGACGACGACGACGACGACGACGACGACGACGAACGACAGCAGCGACGACGACGACGACGACGAACGACAGCAGCGACGACGACGCCGGGACGACGATGGACGACGACGGCGGCGGCAGCGACGAGGGCACCCAGCCCGCCCACAACCCCACGCCTCCTCAGGGAGGGAGGGGGCGTCGAGCCGGAGCGCCACCCGTGGGAGAGGGGGGCCCCCTCGCGGTCAGACCCGCCCGCGGCCGGACGCCGCAGGCAGGTCCGGCGGCGGGGGAGCCCGCGCCCCCGAGCAGGCTCGTGCCCCCCCCCTCGGCCAGCACCCGTGTGCGCACCCCGCACGCTGGGCAGCTCGCTTCTCGGTGGCCCCCCGGTGGGCTCTCCTCGCTGGCGCAGCCGCTCGGCCCCGCCGCCGACGCGAGAAGTCTGCGCACCCCGCGCGGCCCGCGAGGCAGGCGCGGGGCCGCCGCGCGGGAAAGCAGCCACGAACTATTGACGTTGTGGTTGATGATGGTGATGCTGCTGCTGATGGTGGCGATGGCGATGGCGATGGTGATGACGGTGGGGGTGGTGCTGATGATGCTGATGAGGCTGCTGGTGATGCTACTGATGCTGCTGATGACGACGATGATGCTGCATACGATGACGATGACGACGATGATGATGCTGATGATGATGGTGATTATGGTGGTGATGCTGATGGTGATGATGATGATAATGATGGTGGTGGTGGTGTTGATGGTGTTTATGATGATGCGCCTTGTGAGTGATCATGATGATGATGATGATGATGATGATGATGATGATGATGATGATGATGATGATGATGATGATGATGATGATGATGATGATGATGATGATGATGAGGCAGCAGCGATGACCATTATGCTGCTGCTGCTGCTCTTTTTGAGGGTGGTGACGGTCGTGAGGCTCCACCCTCGCATCACTCCAACGCCGCCAGTTCCTCCCTCTGGAGAGTCAGCTCGACCCTAGCATCGTCCGCACACTCCAGTCCAGGAGGTGGAGGAGGAGGCGGAGGAGGAGGAGGAGGAGGAGGAGGAGGAAGAGGAGGAGGAGGAGGAGGAGGAGGAGGAGGAGGAGGAGAAGAGATACGATGTGAAGGGGGACGAGGAGGCGGAGGAGGGGGATGAGGAAATCGAGATAGTATGCATGTTAGTCGTGGCTGCCGGTACTATGTTGGCTCTCTGTGGTAGCGCCCTGCTGATGGTACTGGTGGTCGTAGCGTGCACATGGCGATGGCGGCACCGCGGTGAACCAAAGAGCACAGTTTTCAATATTGTGTCTGCAATGGTCTAGGGCATGGTGGAGAGAGGTCACATGAGTTCACTCGGAATGTATGCCCTAGCGGGGCGATGCCCGTACGTTTTTCAGGAACGTTGACGACAGGGATAGTATTTTTCGAAGCCGATGTTTGGCAACGTTGGGTAGCAGCATAAGGAGCTCTAGGCTCCCGCCATGACCAAGTTACTGTTTTGAATCAAATGTACATGTGCAAAGGTTGCAGTGCATGTCAGAAGAGAATGGAGAAAGGGGACCAGGCCCAATTTCCAGTAGCTTGCGCCTTGCTCGTTGGCCGGCTGCTGAGGCATTCTGCGAGCCAGAGAATGTTGACTTTTGCCCTCCGCTGGATTGGGTGGACGCTCTGCTTCCACTTTCGGATGGGGGGGGGTCGAGTGGCGACAGGGAACAGGAATTCAGAGGTTGAGCGTGCTGGGCTGCTTGAGTGCAGATGCGAGCAGTCCCCAGATCAGATGTTTATTGTGCGGAAGCCTGAGCAACAAAATATCCAAAGGGCGATTACCTGGGACAGAATAACAAATTGTGGTTACCTCAGTGGATCGCCTCGCTGTGCCGTGAACGCTACATCAAGCGGTGTCAGTCTTTGTTCCCAACCATCCTGTGGTGTTGGGTCCTCGTTTTGAAGAGACGGTTCCCGCGTTCCTCCTCTCCTCCTCCTCCCCCTCCCCCTCCTCCCCTCCCTCCTCCTTCTTCCATGCGTTTCACCCACCCAGCACAGCGTTTCGTGGCCCCATAGGGAGCTCCACCGAAGGTCCCAGTGGCACCGCCCGCATGCGTCCGCCACCGACCAGCACAGCCCTTGCTCCCTGCGTTTCACCCACCCAGTACAGCGTTTCGTGGCCCCATTAAGGGGGCTCCACGAAGGTCCCAGTGGCACCGCCCGCATGCGTCCGCCACCACGCAACACGGCCCTTGCTCCCTGCGTTTCACCCACCCAGTACAGCGTCTCGTGGCCCCATGGGGGGCTCCACGGAAGGTCCCGGTGGCACCGCCCGCATGCGCCCGCCACCACCCAGCACAGCCTTTGCTCCCTGCGTTTCACCCACCCAGTACAGCGTTTCGTGGCCCCATTAAGGGGGTTCCACGAAGGTCCCAGTGGCACCGCCCGCATGCGTCCGTCACCGACCAGCACAGCCATTGCTCCTTGCGTTTCGCCCACCCAGTACAGCGTTTCGTGGCCCCATAAAAGGGGGCTCCACCGAAGGTCCTAGTGGCACCGCCCGCATGCGTCCGCCACCACGCAACACGGCCCTTGTTCCCTGCGTTTCACCCACCCAGTACAGCGTTTCGTGGCCTCATAACAAGGGGGTTCCACCGAAGGTCCCAGTGGCACCGCCCGCATGCGTCCGCCACCGACCAGCACAGCCCGTGCTCCCTGTGTTTCACCCACCCAGTACAGCGTTTCGTGAACTCCACGGAAGGTCCCAGTGGCACCGCCCGCATGCGTCCGCCACCACGCAACACGGCCCTTGTTCCCTGCGTTTCACCCACCCAGTACAGCGCTTCGTGGCCCCATGGGGAGCTCTACCGAAGGTTCCAGTGGCACCGCCCGCATGCGTCCGCCGCCGACCAGCACAGCCCTTGCTCCCTGCGTTTCACCCACCCAGTACAGCGTCTCGTGGCCCCATAAAGGGGGCCCCACGAAGGTCCCAGTGGCACCGCCCGCATGCGTCCGCCACCACGCAACACGGCCCTTGCTCCCTGCGTTTCACCCACCCAGTACAGCGCTTCGTGGCCTCATAGGGAACGCCACCGAAGAAGATACTCACAATTGCGGTATTCACAACTGCATATGGTTGGGTCCCTCGCCAGGCTAATTTTGTTGGCCTCGTGTTAAACAAGCTGTAGATATCGTCGTTGCCACGCTAAACGTAGGACGTTGTGTGTGTGTGTGTGTGCGAGTGTAAGACAGAGAGAGAGAGAGGGAGAGAGAAAGAGGGTTATGGATAACACGAGGAAGCGGGAAAGAAATAGAGAAAGAGAGAAAGAGAGAGAGAGAGAGAGGTAGATAACGAAACAACAACATACATATAATACATAAATGACGATACATATATATATATATATAGAGATAGATAGATAGAAAAAGAGAGAGAGAGAACAAAAGAGAGAGGGATAACAACAAAATGTGTGCGTTCGCGCGCGCGTGTGTGTGTGTGTGTGTGTGTGTGTGTGTTGTGCATGTGTGTGTGGTCCTCCCCCGAGCCGCTGGGGTGTTCCGCCGCCGGGCTCCGCTCGCTTCTCCCTGTCCCGCCGGTGGATCACGGCCTTCGACGTCCTCGCCGTGCTGGTCGCCGCCGCGCTCTGGCGCGCCGCGGGCGCTGAGCCCATGGGGCGCGGGCGCGGAGAGGCGCGGGCGCGGAGAGGCGCGGGCGCTGAGCCCCTGGGCGCAGGTGCTGCGCCTCTGGGCGCGGGCGCTGGGCCTGCAGGCGCGGGCGCGGAGCCCATGGGCGCAGGCAGCTCAGCCTATAGGCGCGGGCGCGGAACCCATGGGCGTAGGCAGCTGCGCCTGCAGGCGCGGGCGCCGAGCCCGCAGGCGCGGGCGCGGGCGCCGAGAGGCGCGGGCGGTGAGCCCATAGGCGCGGGCGCTGGGCTCATGGGCGCGGGGCACGGGCTCTGGGCCTGTAGGCGTGGGCGCCGAGGCCATAGGCGCGGGCGGGGCGCGTCCTCCCGCTCCTGCCACGATCGCGTCGTACTCGCGCCTGTGATGTCGGCGCCCCTCCGCGCGACGCGCTGCGGGCCTCCCGCTGCGCCTGGCCTGCTGTGGCAGCTTTCGCTCGCACGGC